TTTAACATCATTTATATTTATTTTTAGATTTATTTTATTCTGACTATTCACTTTATTTAAACCCCAACAAAGCAACGCTTATACGTTTTCATCACGCACAGAGGCCTGTTAGTGAATTGGAGGTCAAATTAGATAATAAAAATATTTATTTTAGTGAGACTACTAAATTCCTTGGACTTTACATTGACTCCAGCCTTAACTGGAAAGCACATTGTGCTCAACTCGTACCTAAAATAGGCTCCAACAGTTATGTCTTAAGACAACTAAAATCAGTTCTAACATCAGATCAAGTAAAACAAGTTTATTTTGCGAATGTCGATGCCAGACTGAGACACGGTGTCTGTTTTTGTATACGATCTCTGGCAGGTATAGCGCCCTCACAGATTTGTAGGGACTATTTTAACAAATTTAGTATTTTAACCCTTCCATCTTTGTTTTTATATGAAGTGTGAAGAAATTATAATGTACATTGTTTTAGTAGTAGAAGCGCCTTAGATTTGCATTTAAGCATTTGTAAATCTAAGGTGGCTTATCGATCACCACACAATATAGGACCTTATAGGTATGTTTAATAATCGTCCTATTAAAATTAAATCCCGTAATACATTAAATAAATTTAAGTTAAATTAAAAAAAAAAATTGTTGGGAATGACCTTTTATAGTGTGGAGGAATACCTGCAAATTGTAATATGAGGCCTACGAGTATATGATAATTTTATGATAATTTTATTATGATCTGTTGTGTTTGTTTTTGTATATTTTGTTTCATATAATTGTGTTAGATTTAAGAATTTATTGACTATTCTTATACAATAGTACATTGTTTTATGGAAATAAATAAATGATTGATGATTGATTATTGCAAAAAAAATATAAACAAACCTTCGATAGTTTCGATTTTATTACTTTTTTTGTTTAATATTGATCAACTGACGAATAAACTAATAACTGACAGTTATTAAAAAGTCCGTATAAATCTATGTCTTAAAATGCTTAGTTTCGGAAATACAGGGTGTAGAAATTTTATTTTTATTTCGATTTTTTCCAAATAATTTCTGAAGTAACGTCAATATTTGGATGAAAATTGGTGTCTAGAAGTTTTTAGTATAACTATTTTATTTAATTTTTTTTCCAGATAATGTCTATATTATCTCCAAAATATAGCCCAATTTCTAGCTTTTAATTTCCAGAATGCTCTCCCTAAATTTCAGAATCGATATTAGTCTTTTCTTGAAATCAAACTGCCGAGATAATTGAATTCCGCTGCATATTCTAATAGTTCACCTCCATTTTTATATCATTGTTGTGATTTTCCGGGGGAGTGCACACGATTTTAGTTTTATCGATGTTCAACTTAAGGCCCAAAGCCTCGTATGCCCAGATATATGTGATCAGCATTTCTTGTAATTGCTGTAACGTTTTTGCACCAAAGGGCGAGTCATCAGCCTATTGAATTTCTGTGATGAATTGTGTGCGTGTTTTTGCACTGAGTTTTTTTATGTTGAATAGACCGCCGTCGTAATTGTACCAAATGCCCCTTTCCTGCTGTTTGCTGTCCTCTATAATGAAGGGCGCTGCTATGAATATGTTGAAAAGGAGTGGCGCTAAGACACATCCCTGCCTAACCCCTGTATTTGTTAGGATGGGATCGCTCAGTGATCCATGATATGACACTCTTGACTTATGGAGGATTTTACAAACATGTAAGAAATTTGTTGGGTACTCCAAACTTTTTCATAATTGCCCAAAGTGCATCTCTGTTCACAGAGTCGAAGGCTTTTGTTAGGGCGATGAATGCGACATACAGTTTGGACGGAGAATATGGAATTGACGGTGCCGCGGTTAGTGTGAAAACCCGTTTGCGATTCTGGAAGAATTTATTCTATATGTGGGTGCAGGGCGGTTTTACATAATTTTTGTAAGAAAGAAGAACATTACAATGGGATAGCTCCATGATGGTGGATGACATTCCCGCTTCCTGCAAGTGGTTGTTAATGTCCACTAACTGCTTCAATGGCACAGGTTCACAAAGCGATAAGGCCTGCCGCGATATAATCCGGGCACCGGAAAACGGAAAGCCGGTGCCTCTCCAATATCAGCAGGAATAATAGCTGACCATACTTCGGCAGCTGGTTCCTCGGAGTCGGACTGTCTTAAGTAGGCAATAATTCCGAGTTCAACACTGTCTAGGGGTTATTTCTATGATCGTCTCTCTCGAGGGATGGTGATGGGAGTTCGTCTATAAAAGATTTTTAAACCACTCCTTCACGAAAAAAAGGAAAGCCGGTGCACTATGGACGTACACTTCCAGCGGTCCTCTCAAATCAATCTCCGCCTTATGCGGCTTGATCGTGTAGAGAGTTTGAACAGATTATAATATATAGACATTATATGATAATATAGACATAGGTGTAGACATTTTTTAAAATTATAATACCGTGCTGGCAACTGTTACTCTTGGGTCGGTATTTACATGTGTGGAAGTAAATCGCATAGGGATCTTACTAAGTCGTAGTGAGAGAAATGCGACGGAGTGCTGTTGCGGCGTTGCCGCTACGCCTTTGCCTATCAAGTAAAGTAAAATCACGATCGCAAACCGCTTATTTTTAAAAGACTTTTTTTTCGAAAAGATAACTAGATAAAATCATTAGAAATGTTTCTGAGCATCTGAAATAGAATTATAAGGATATATTTAGGGTGTCATTTTTTTTGTAACGAGAAAACGTCAATAATCGCGATAATTTAAAAACTCAACTTTTTAACACATAACAGGCCATAACTCAAGAAACACATTAGATATTGAAACTTCTTTTTTATTTTGAAGATAGGATCTTTTACAATATGTTTACATAAGAAAGAATCGATAAGGTTCTTTTTCCATTCAAAAATTGTAAACAACCCATCTATTTACTTTTAGAGCATAGCAATTTTCAGCAGTCGTGTAATTTTTTTATTGATATAGATTTTCACTTACTGTCTACGAAGAAAATACAGCAGAAATATTAAGAAAGTTTTTGAAAAAAAACTACAATCAATTATTTCTAATAGATTTTGAGATATCGATTTTTGAATTCAGAGTTCTAATAGCCCGACCACTGTCGAAAACCAACTCAGTTCCACTTATTTTTACCAAAAATGCAAGTGTTTCTAGCTTGCACTTAAATTTTCAAGCTATAGGGAAAATTACAACGACTCGTTAATGAATAAACAAATAAACTATCACGAGACGTAATTAAATCGTGAAGCTGAACGCATGATGTACACCTTTCCCTAGAACTTTAAGTACTGACAGAAGTAATGATTGGATCGACCGGTCAACTGCGACAAATCTGCTATATCCCCTTCCACGTCTCTTAGCAATGTGCACATTCTCGATATATTTCATACGTTTGGCAACGTCTTTACTGTTCTCTCTTTGTTCAGTACATTATAAACGCATTGTACCCTTCTTACATAGGGAAATCTCGACCCAAGACTAACAAAAATTGCCCAGTATACTCCAGCCCTTAGTATACTCTCGCATTAGAGCAATTGCACGCATTCATAAGTCGTCGAAGATCTTAGGTCCCATACAATATACGTTAAATTAAAAATATATTTTGCTCACTTAAATTTTAATATTTTGAAAGAAGTTTCCTTAAATATGTAGTAAATAAATTTAATTTTCTAACGTCTACTGGGTATTTATTTTTTTAATTCAACATACAGACTTTACTATAATACAAGGTGGACCAAACTGTATTCCGAAAACTTCGGCAGCATATTCTACAGATAAAAAAATATATAATATGTTCGTATAAAATAGTTTCTAAGATACAGGGTGCAGAAGTTTTATTTTTATTTCGATTTTTTCCAAATAATTTCTGAAGTAAGGTCAATATTTGAATGAAAATTGGTGGTTGAGAGTTTTTTTACACGAGAAATTTGATTTTACTGTCAATATGACTCCTACTTGTAGAGGGCGCCACCTACATCTTTTTTTAACTGGTTTAAAGAGTAATAATTTTTTGTTTGTACCTGTATAAAACTAATGAGTAAGAAAATGTAACGACCATTAACGACATTTTTTACGTAAAAAAGTTCTCTTTGTAAAAATCGCTACGAGCAACTGTTCTCAAGATATTTGGAATCGAAATTATCAATACCTGTCATCATTGACATAAATTTAAACATGTTGACTAAATAGTTGTTAGACTGAAATCAGCAATTTGAAATGTTTTTGTGCCAATGGTTCAACAGAAACTGTTTAATCATCAGTTTCTCAAAGAAAAATTTATGATTAATTTAAAAAAATAAATTTCCTAAATTTATCATTTCAGTCAAATAAGTATCAACTCGAAATGTTTATTTTTTGCCAACAATGACATGTATTCCGTTTTTTACCAAGATTTTTATCAAGAGACATTTCTCGCTACAAGTCTTTTCGCTGACATTTTGCTGATACGTGGGAGCCTAGTATTGATTATTCAATTAATATTAATTACAAAATTAATACAATAATTATTTCAGATCTTTTAATTTCTAGACCGTGTTTTTTGGTAACTAAATCATAAATCCATAAAAATAATAAGTCCAGTTAACCATAAAAATTATAAATCCTTTATCTGTAACATCGAATCAAAGAAATTTCCGCTGTTTCCTATGAAACATTTACACAACTTTTTTAAGAGTTCATTATTTTAGACACAAAGCAGAAAAAATATTTTTTAGGAACTATGTTAAACTGTGACTTAATTCTGTTAGTTTGGCCTAAATTCAGATTTTAGCATTTTTTAAAAATACTTTACTCCTCTGACGTAAACAAATATAATATATACAAGGCGCGAAATGAATCTATTGGGGAATATAAACACACAATAAATTTACATTCCCTTCGGTTTATTTCAGCTAAATAAGCTTTTTACATAACAATATTAAATATAGATTTTCACTTTTTTTTCGTAGGTGATTTAGCGGACCGATGAAGTGATGCTTCGCAGATCCAGTGTAATAATTCCCAAATGGGGAAAACTAAAACGGAGCATCATAGTCCGACTCATACGACCGGCCACGGGAAGAAGCCTTTTTACAAGACGTACCCGTTTCATCAATCCGCCCTTAGAGTTAAGTTACATAAGAAGCGGAACGATTTTGCACACTCAAGACGGACAGCCAGAGAGGATAATTTAAGGAATATGGACCTTTTGAGGGGATTTTACACTTTAACGCAGGTATGTGAGAAATCACCATATTACTCGAGAGATTAACAAAAGTCTATAAGAAAGTAAGAAAACTTCTTTGTTTGTCGTGCTATTCTACCTGTCCGTATTCTCACCTATATTTTGTTTTATACTAGATATATCTGTCATGAATTGTGTTCTACACTTTGTATTTGTATGTATTATTTCTATTCTATTCTTTTTGTTATATATTATGTACTATTTTTATGTAAATTGTTGATGAATCTTTTAAGACATACGAAATATATATAGTGCCACTGTCATGTAAGTAATCATAGTGGCAATTGAGACAGAGAAACGTTTTCGTTCCAGATACTCAACTGCAACAGTCAATAGTCCTTACGTTGCTGTTGTGCTGATGGAGAATTACAGCCACTAGTATACATCGGTTTTTCTGTTCTTTTGCTGGTCTAAATGCCACGAGGGGTGTCTCACTCGGGTAAAAAATGTACACGTACTGCCAAAATATCCTTCCACTGCTAAGCGACTGCCAATGACTATGAAGAAGACTGCCAATGACTGCCAGCAACTGCCAAGAAAATGTACAGGTAATTCCAATAGTGAGACACCCCTCGAAATGCCATTAAAAACAGGTCTCTAATAAATCTTTAACTATTAAATTGTTTTGGAATTAGCTAAACTGATCGGTTAACCAGCTAAGGGTGTCTGCAACGACATCCCGTAATCCTGCTGTTAAAACATAACAATTTGTTAACAGAAGAACTACGGAACGTCGTTGTAGCCACCCTAAATGGTTAAATAGGCCTAACGCTAAAAACTGGTTCATAATAACTATGATAACAATTAAATGACTAAAAAACTTAATCTGGTATATCATAGTAAAGAACTCTCTATCAACGAAACACCAACCCTCCATTATTGTTCTTTCAACGTAGAGATTGTTTGAATTGAGTGCCTGGAATGAAAGCGTCTGTCTACCTAAAGTGCCCCCATGTCTACTCACTTGAATAGTCATGACGGAATTTGTTAAATATACTATATTTTCAACATACTCTCAAGTGCCTCCATGTCTACTCACTTGAGTAGTCATGCCGGACCTTCTTAAATATGTTACGTACTATGTTAAGTACTATGTTTGCCCAATTTGGCTTCGATAAGCCAAATTGCTCAAATTATCTGAGAGTCTAATCCCCCTTAAAGACAAAAGTTTAAAGAGACTAATTGCGTTAAGTTCCGGTTATGCCCGCTACACACGCAACGATATATCGTAGCGATTTCAAACTGCACAGATAAATCGAATACCCCTAGTGTCTCCACATGTTGCAGATATCTGCGTCGATCGTCAGTTCTCTACAGAAATTCGCGCGGAAACATGTCATCGGCAATAACAGAACTTGATGAAGACGCATTCGCATTTTTGGTTGATGATATACTTAAAGGAAAAAAAGTCACGTAGGGTGTGGTGTAAAGTCTGGCTTCTAAAACGGAAGTCATACTGTCATATAAATTTATTAAATGAATTAAAATTCGCTCCAAAAGATTGGCTGGTTTATTTTAGGCGGTATTTTTTTTATTGTGACCATGGTAATTTTTTGATTTGGTTTGCCAAAGGCAAGTTTCATTTCTGTAACATTGTATGAACTCTTCCAATAATTGCTCACGGTGTCCGCTTCGATCGTTCCGACATGTTTTAGGACTAGGACCTTTCCACGGACGTGTGCGTATTCTGAGTTTGTCTAATAGCCTCTCATAAATTGAGCGATCGTTCGGATCGATCGTTGTCGCCATCTACACGCAACGATAAACAGCGCAAACGCAATCGACAACGGTTTATCGAATAGAAATTGCAACTGCCGCCAATCATCTGTGCAGATGAAAATATCTGTAACGATTTATCATACATACGTTCGATAAAACTGTGCAAATTGACTGTACAGATAGATCGCTAACGATAAATCGTGGACGTCTGTAGCGGCCATTAGATATACTAACTTCAAAAAATTATACTAAGAAAATATTTTAATATATTACAATAAGCACATAAAAATAACTCCAAAGGACAAAAGTATATAAGAAGAACAGCCAAATTATTAAGAATTAATTTAAGAATTTGCAGGTTACGTTAGATAACGTATCATTTAAATTGTAGCTGATCAAGTTAACATAAATATATGATCATGGAATATGATCAAGGGTAAAAAACAGAAAAGCATGCGATTTGTAATAAATGTTTATTAGTTGTAGTATATCTAGTCAACTCTTTCACCTTCATGCTGAGATGCTTTCACATGTTCATGATGCAAATGCGCGGTTAGTTAAATATGTTCGTGTCCTTCCTATGCTGATTGCTTTATTCTACTATATAAGATTTCGAGTTAGATTTTTAGTTAGTTTATGATATAGTTCGCATGGAGTACTTATAGAAGAACTCAATCATATTCAAATCTAAAATGTCACTTCATCTAAAGAAGAAATCACTGGGTCAATGTGTACTATCAGTCACGACCTGTGCATGCAAAACCTGGACACTTAAAAGGGACATTATAAGGAAAGTGCAGGGTAACAGTAATTCTGTAACTTAGAAAACGCTAAGCGCTTTTAGACGCTCAGCGTATACTCGTATGACTAATCACCCTCCACGCACAGCGTATACTCGTATGACCTCGTCCCTAATCTTCTCTTCCAAGATATTTTTAACCACATCATATGTTCGGCTCCAGCCCTCAGGTGACTCCATTAACTCATCCATCATGCTTCGGGCGTTGAAAGTTTTGCCGGTTTTATTCATAAAAGCTAATCGATAATCTTCCCATCTCGTGCACTCAAACATTGTATGGTCTCGATCGTCAGGCTGATTACAGTATTTGCACTTATCAGATTTTCTCCTGCGAAACTTGAATAAGTAGGCATTGAAACATCCGTGACCGGTGAGTGCCTGCATAAGAAAGTAGTCCGGTTCTCCATGGGTCCTCTCTGTCCATCTTCTCACGTCCGGGATTAGTTTCCTCAACTGCTCTCTTTTTACTCCATTCTCCCATCTGATTTGCCACTGCATCATAACCTCATTCTCTAACTCTAGACTTCCTTGTCCTACGTATCTCTTGGCTCTCTCTTTGATTTTTAGGTCAATCGGCTTGCCCGCCAATACTCCGGCCGCTAGTTCCGATACTCTCCTGTAAGCACTACAAATGCGTAGATTTACTTACCTTTGCATTGAGGCGAACTTTTGCGTAAGCTTTCTGTTTTCGGTCACTGTGTGCCAGATTGGTGCACCATAGAGCATCTGTGAATGTATGACCGATACCAGTATTCTTCTCTTTGAGGCTCTGGGACCCCCGATATTCGGCATTATGCCGTTTAACGCGCTTAAAGTTTTTCCAGCTTTTTCCAAAGTTCTACTAGTATGCTCTGCAAAAGTGAGGTTTGTGTCTAGCCAAATACCGAGGTACTTGATGGAATTTTTGGGTCGTACAATAACTCCCTGAATTTTAAATTCGACTCGCGTCATCTTCCTTTTCCTGGTGAGGAGTATTTCTTCTGTCTTTCTCTTCTTGTCTTTCTTCTGACAGATATGAAGCTATCATGTCCACGTCTCTTCTTAAGAGTTGATCGATTATTTTCTACCAACTTGCACTATTAAATGCGTTTTTGACGTCCACTGGGATTACTCAGCAAATCCTACAATAGGCATGGAAGTAGTCCTCTGCTTCTCGAGAGAGACTTATTATTTGCTTTACGGCATCTACGGTTTGTCTCTTTTCCCTAAAGTTATATTGCCTTTCGGAAAACCCTCCTGTTCTTTCTATCTCCATTTTTAGTCTACCAAGGATTAGCTGCTCGAAGAGTTTCCCTTCCACATCCAATAGACAGATTGGCCTGAAAGATGAGGGACGATCTGTAGGTTTATTGTCTTTTCTTATGAGGGTTAGTTTAGCACGTTTCCACTCCGCTGGAAACCGCTCTGCTTTTGCCAATTTATTGTAAGCTGCTAGTACATAGTCCGGCGCGGTCTGCGCTGCTAGTTTTACCATTTCAGGTGGGATCTTATTTGGTCCTGGTGCTTTGTTATTTTTTAGTTTTGAGGCTGCGCGGCTCAGCTCTTCCATGCAGAACTGTAACGGTTTGTTAGTCTTAGTTTTGCGGTATGTGACTAATTCGTGTTTTGAGAAGAGATGATTGACGATATCCATTCTCCAATGTAATCTGCTGTTTCGGCCGAAATCTCTTGATTTGTGTCATAACAATCCTATATCCGTTCCCCCAGATATCCTGATCAACGGTGTCACACAACTTCTTCCAGCAGGTTCTTTTTGCCCTCTTTATGGTATTTTTCAGGTCTTTCCTGGCTTCCTTGTAGCTATCCCAGCAGTAGGAGCTGCCGTTTAATGGAGATCTACGGGCTGTTCTGATATATATTCTTTTCGTTTTTGCGCTATTTCGTCATTCCACCAATACATGGGCTGGCCTCTGGGGTGATTTTTTGTATAGGGCATAGATATATTACAGGTTTTTATTAGGATTGATGTAAATTCTCTGCTTGATGATGGCACTTTATTTTTGCATGTTTTGAGAAACTCGGCAGCTTTTTGACTGTCCATTTTTTTAACAGTTTAGGTATTTGTTTGATTTTTCTGCTTTAAAAAATATTTTTTATCCGAAAGCTTGAATATTATATAATTGTGATCACTAAGTGACTCGTCCTCGCTAACTTTCCAGTGAACTATTTTATTTTTTATGTCGGATGTGGCTAGTGTCAGGTCCAATATAGACGCATAATCCCGCCTTTGGATTGGATCATTCCCCATTCTGGGGAGACTTAGCGTTAAAATCACCCCCAATGACCGCTTTTTCTTTATTGCGCTTTATGCGTCCACCAATTTTGTCTAATAGCGTTTCCAGGTTCTTTATGTCATCATTACCTGATGTGTATACGCTATATACGCTGTATTCTGCTGTGATTACATATGCATATCCTATGCCACTTCCTTGTTCCTTAATAATTATTTCAGTGTTCAGCACTTTTATAGTTA